ATGCACGTGACTTTATACAGAAAATGGTATTTTAGTAAAATGGCTATGTCATCCACCGTAAAATGGCTATGTCATCCACCGCCACGCTTTCAGCCATGAAGAACTAGAACCAAAGTCCATGTCCAAAACTCATGCAAATGCCATCAGGAGTAACATTTTATGGTTTGGGGGGCAGATGGCAAATCAACCAAGGAAGCTCAGTGTCATGATGTGCATTCGGGAAGACGGAGAGGGCTGAGATGGGACCATCACACCTGGGACCTTGCAGGAAAGCTCAGGCTACCCACGACATCGCTCACTGCGCGATCACAGTCTGCGATGCATGTGAGGGAGGAAAGAGAGCTGGTGGATTTTTCCTCCTGCTAGTAGGGGGACACTAGAGATCGACTGGTGATGTCTTGCCTGATTAGTTCATACCTGTAAATTCACTCTTAGTAGGATTTTTCTCTTCCAGTGGTCAAAGGATAAAAATCACCTGGATTTTTTTTCCTTCACATTTTACAAGTGGTAATTGCTGGTTATGGTCTTTAGTCTACAAAACTGGGTGTCACTTCAACACTGCTTAGGAGGCTCCCCTGGAAGCTAGAATATTCCTTTTCCCAGATCAGAAACATTTTAAGGAACAATACTCGTTTATTTTTCAGGAAATGGATGGAATGTAAGTTTTCACAAATACAAAATTACTTCAAGTTTTCTAAATATAAGTGACATCCCACTATAAAAATAACAGCCCCTCCCTCCCACCCATACATCTCTTTCTAATTATAAAATGGTACAACCATTTCAGGTTACTATTGTGAAAGCTAGAAGTAAATATATTATGTACATGTACAAAACACATCAGTATTTCACACCATTTACAGTCATGTGAAAGAAGTCCTTTTATTGATCTTCCTTTGCAATGCCATGAGAATAAAGTTACGTTACAGAACAAGCAGGCCCTTGCTCATAACTGCACACACTTCCCAGCCCAAGGCAGCTTCTTTTCAAACAGAGCAACACTGGGACACTTTGAGAAAGGGCTGCTAGCAGTGGAACCCCTGTGAGGACTCCTGCAGCTTCTCAGAGCTGGTGACATTCTTTCCTCTTTTGATAAACGGAGACCCAATTCTCAACTACTGAGAAAAGCATACAATGAAAATCAAGTAACCAAGTGGTGGAGAACAGGGTGACCCAAGTCAAAATAATTTGTTGAAAGACTAACGGCGACGAATCCAGCAGAGGGCGCTGTGCCCTTTGCAATTACATCCGCCACCCAGTTAGGTACCATGGATGCCCGCACAGTCGTAGGGAAAAGTCCGCGTGTGAGTCCAACTGCTCTACTTGTAGAAGTACAGGCAACAGTTTGGTATTCAAAGGAGCAGAATATACTCTAATTAGCTAGCGCTTATTATACTTGTACACAAAAATTCTTTGGCTGAAGTCTTCACATTCTCAAAGAGAACAATAATCTGAGTTCAGTGAAGCGCAGGATTTGTCTAAAACTTCCGGCAGAAAGGCGGCTCAACACTAGACCCTAAAGATGGTGTGGGACTAAGGCCACGGCTTTTTTTTTGTTGGATTTCTGGGTATGTTCAGGTCAACTGGAAGCCCCCTTAGCTTCCATTCAACCACACAACACACCTTCACTTTTATTATGACATTGGGGGAAAACTCGCCCGGTGGAAGAAACACATGCCGATCAGTCTTTGGTTTATGTAGCACGCGTGGCCCCCACATAATCCCTGCTTCTCCAAGCCTTTCCCCTCAGTCAGGATGACCAGATCAAAGATATTCTGCCAAGCAATGACTACTCGGGCAACCCAGCTCGAGGCACCTTCTCAATGCATTTTCTCCCTTTCTGCGCTTAGACTGTAGACCTCTCGAGGTATATTCTCGCCTTACCACTATCATCAACAACTATTTTTCAAAAGTGGATGGCTCTGTTGTAAGTGCAAACACCAGCCACAGTTTAGGATTAGAGGCTGTCTCTGATCACTGATTCCCAGAAGCTTCCCTCGATAGGAAACACTTGAGGCGGTAATGAACAATGCGCCCGTCTCAGCAGGTTCTTGCGGAGCAAGCAGGCTTGGCCATGAAAGGGCTTGAGAGTTACAGGCCCACACCCGGGGTCTGGGATGAACAGCTCAGGTGGAAGAGTGTGGCTATTATTTCTGGAGTTTTCCAATGACTATTGCTGTACAGGGTCTGGGCTTGTGAGGTGAGGATGAGGCATTCATACCTGTTTCTCAAAACACAAGTTTCAGGCAAGCCACACCTTCTTTTCAATCATGAGTGTTTTGGTTCATGAATACTTAACCTCTTAAAGAGCTCCTCTGCCCCAAATACCCAGTACTCCCAGGTCACCCCTAACCCATGCCATGAGCACGTCTGCGTCATGTTTTGTTGACCACAGCAGCTCTCCAGCCTCACTTTCCCCCTTGCTTCCTGATTCCTGCAGGGTAGCGACCCCATCACCTCCTAACTTCTATCAGCAAATGCGCTCAGCAGTGCTGGCCACGCCGCAGCCTGGAGGAGGGGCTTCTGCACACACAACACTGCATGGCAGGCAGGGGGCGAGTGTTCCCTTCCTCAGGAGAACAGTCTCTTCGTGCCTCTCTGTCAGTCTCCAGGAGTGAGTGGTCCTCGGATCACTTACTAAAAGCAGGCTGTCGTGCTAAGATGTGAAGATGCGCAGGTGGACACCAGAAACGGTTTTCTACGAAATCCTAACCCTGCAGGCATGTGGAGAAGCAGGAAGACTACAAATGCTGGAGACAGAAGATGCTAGATCCACACAGCATGCCAGAAGATACCGCGCCATTGCTTGCCTAAGGAGACCATTCTGGTGTTGAAGCTGGAACACAAGGCAACATCTATTGGAGGTCTGAGATCAAATTCTCAATATGGGAAGTGAAAATGAGGTTGACTCTATGAGGAAGCGACTTAGCTTGCCTTTATAATAAACTGGTTTTCCTCATCAGAAGGGAAAATATAGACATGCCCACACAGGAAAAGAAGACAAATGCTAACAAGAGTAAGGGTAGCAACAACCTCAGAGCTGCATTTGCTTTTTAAATCCTGAAGGTTATTTTAAAGTTCCTCAGGAGAAGACCAAGAAAGAAGAAAAGGAGGAGGAGAATATAGGAAAGGAATTTGAAAGTGAAGGAATATAAAAATGCTGCAGGAAGTGAACTCACTGGCCCTCATGCCACAGAACATGACTTTCAAGAAGAGTTTTGAATCAATGAGGCTTCTTTGTTTTCAGTCAAGGTGATGCATTCAGTAGATAACTGAATGCCTTTGAGTTTTTAGGCTTTGTAAGAATCACCATCTAAAAGCTGCTCATAATGAAGGAAGAAGCAGAGGTCGGATGGCATCCTTTGTTTTTGGTTCTGAAGGCATGGCAGCCACAGGGCTGTCCCAGCAGTAACTGACAGAATGGTCACCGGGAACCGGCAGTCCTGATACAGCCAAAGCCACCCTGATGAGTGTCCAGGACATTTCACCAGGACAAGAGAAATGCGGAGAAACAAAACAACAAACCCAACAAGCAGAAAACCCCGTATGAACAAAAACTTCCTTGGAGAGAGATTCGCCCTGATGGTTACGACTGCTACTGTGTGGCCTCCAAACAGGTAGATGCCTTTGCCCCTCTGACTGCCTGACTCCCACCTTGCTGAGTCAACATCCCAGGCCTGGACGGTGCTGCGGCTCACTTGGCTAATCCTTCGCCTGCGGCGCCGGCACCCCAGGTTCTAGTCCTGGTCGGGGTGCCGGATTCTGTCCCGGTTGCCCCTTTTCCAGGCCAGCTCTCTGTTGTGGCCCGGGAGTGCAGTGGGGGTGCAGTGGGACCAAGTGCTTGGGCCCTGCACCCGCATGGGAGACCAGGAGGAAGCACCTGGCTCCTAGCTTCAGATCAGCGCAGCATGCCGGCTGCAACACACTGGAGGGTGAACCAATGGAAGGAAGACCTTTCTCTCTGTCTCTCTAACTCTGCCTGTCAATAAAACATATAAAATAAAATAAAACGTCTCGAGGGGTGATCAAACCCTGAAGAGTAAATCAAGACTCAGATGCTGTGTTCACGGTCAGGGCGCAGCCCTTCCAAAGAGGTGAGTCACACCAGGGGCAGCAGTTCCTAGAGGTGACCTGAAATTATTCAAATGCTCCTTTGCTGCCCTATAGCCTGTGGGTTGGGGAGTAGTGACTGAGTAGAAAGCAGATTGTTGGAGTGGCCATCCTTCAAATAGATAGTCACAAGACCCAAAGATTCTTTTGTAATAAGGCCACATAAAATATTGTATTTGGAGTCAAATGTAACTTTTCACTCTATCTTCCAAAATCAATCTGTTGAGTTTTAGCTGAGGCCCTGGGGTTGGGGAAGACCTTCTCTGCCCACCGGGAAGCAGAAGACCCAGGGCCCAGGCGAAAGCAGCCACCTGCAGCCTGGAATTCTCGTGGGCTCCTAAGGGCCATGCATCGGTCTAAGGGTGTATGAGATGTGAGGGGTATGATTTTATTTCAGCACCAAATGAACAGGTTTGTGGGACTTTCTAAAAAAAACCAGCTGTTCAGAGAGTAGCAACAAATGATAATGGACATCACTGGTGCATGACAAAGTCCAAGCAGAAATTTCAACATAAACTGGTCTCTGGGCCCTGCCATTAGGCGACTTGGGTGGTGTCTCCTTCTCCCTGCAGGTAATCGTGGTTTTAACTTGATCTTTTGTTAAGGGGCAAGGAATTCTGTGAGAATGTCAGAGGAGCTGTGCAACCAGAAGCCGCATACCACACACGGCTACATGTGCTTGAGATGTGGCTAGTCCAAGCTGAGATGCACCACGAGCGGAAGAAACAACAGATTTAGAAGGCTCATTAAAGAAAAAAAAAAGAATGGGAAATATTTCATCACTACTTTTTTTTTTTTTACACAAATTGTATGTTGAAACAATAATAAACAATAATATAAAGTTAAATCGAATGCACTATTAAATCATTTTTACCTGTGTCTTTTCACTCTTTACAATGTGGCTAGTGAGATGTGTGTTGTGCATTCTATTTCTGGTGAGTAGTGATGGTCTACACTTTTGCTGCAGAAAACTGCACATCTACAAAAACAGAGTTTGCATTGACTTCTGAGGATTCACACACCCTTTGACACCCCCCTGTGGACCACTGAGTCCCCAGGTCAGAATCTTTCCTCTGGGGTAGTTGGTGAGCAAGGCTGTGGAGAAGGGCTGCTTCTCTATTCTTTTTTATTTTTTTAACTACAAAGCCATAGGGAACCTTCCCAGCAACAGACCTTCGGCAAGTGGGGAGTCTCCTAGGCTTGGGTGTTTGCAGCTGGACTGACTTGGGGTCAGATGCACAGGCCAAAAATGGGTCTCAAGGACTCCTCATTGCTGACACAGGACCCTATAGGTGAGGATGTGGCCAAGACCTCCATGTGCAATCAACCCCTGGCTTACCTGGCCCTTGGCTGGAAGAGCAAGCACTCATTAGTCAGACGACTCTAGAATCCAAGGACTGGAGGTCATACCAACATTTGTGGCAAAGCTGACTGAATGAGGATTAGGTGGTATAGGCCTAAGCTGACTAAGATAAAACAAAACACTTTGAGGGGCCAGCACTGTGGTATAGTAGGTTAAGCCTTTGCCTGTGGCGTTGGCATCCCATATGAGTGCTGGTTCAAGTCCTGGCTGCTCCATTTCTGATCCAGCTCCCTGTTAATGGCCTGGGAAAGCAGTGGAAGATGGCCCAAGTGCTTGGGCTCCTGCACTCACATGGGAGACCCTGAAGAAGCTCCTGGCTCCTGGCTTCAGATCAGCCCAGCTCTGGCCATTGCGGCCATTTGGGGAGTGAACCAGCGGATGGAGGATCTCTCTCTGTCTCTCCCTCTCTCTGTATGTAACTCTGCCTTTCAAGCAAATAAATAAATCTTAAAAAAAGAAGAAACCCCTTTGAGAACTTGGCTTTGAGGGTTGCAAATGCTGTGACTATCAGCATTCGTAAAACAAGGCAAACAAACCAACTCCTATTTGGGCTTAAAACATCAATTATTTAGATCTTAATTCTGAGCAACAGAGGAGTGCCCAGTCTCAGAGCCTGTTCTCATCTGTTCCTTGTCGAGTAACTCGACCTCCCCAAGCTAGGAAGCCTGCTTGCTGCATGGCACAGCTGTTATGCAAGGAAAATCCCCAGGCAGAAGGCTCACCAATGATCTTAAGCCAGAAGCAGCTCTGGGAAGCATCTTGTTGACTCCTCACTGTGCGGGTGGAGGTGCAGAGGCTTTTCAAGGAAGGGCCTGGCTCATCCAGGACTCCTGCCTCCAGGTTCAGAACTCTCCATTCTTTGCTGCTTTTTTTTTCTTTGCCACACATAGAAACTTCAGCACAGGAAGTGTTGGACTTCTGGAGAGAAGCAGCCTTGCTAGAGGTGGCCACTGGCTTTCCTGCCTCACTGCCTACTTACAAACCACCAGGAGGAAGTCACTGAAGGTGTGGAGAAAGGGATGGCTCCTTGCCGTCCATGCCTCGGCAGACAGCCAGGGTTTGCAGCAGAACCAAGCTCTGCGTGTGCATGGGCATCAGTGTGCTGAGGTGGAAAAGCCCTCATCAAATATGTGAATACAGTGTGGTGAGAACAGCTCTCTCTTGTAGTTGATCCAGGCAGCTGCTGGCCTTTACCAACTACCTAGAGATGGTAAGGTGAGCCATCGCATTGTCCAGAGACACTCGTCACCACCTGAGTCATCTCTGTGCCCGCGAGTCTGAATGTATTACAAAATTGCCCGCTGAAAAAATAGCACATTTCTGTCATAGTTACAAAAACAGAATACAAAACATAAATGGTTTAAAAATACCAGTGGGTTTCAGGAGTCATTTGTCACATCTTTTCCTGCCCCACTCCTACTTTGTCTCTCTGTCTCTCTCAGTTAGGATAAACCTGGTTTAGTAAAGTCCCATGCTGTACTTTTTGGTTCAAATGATTGATTCACTCACTCCATGCATCACTAGGTATCTGCACCCTCTTCTGGAGCCAGAGGAAGCCATCAGCTCCAGACTCAGCTGAATTCTTCCACATGATCTGCTGAGGTGCCACAGCACTGTGTGGGAATTAAGGTAAAAATTGAAGTGCTCCTGCACCCACTACTTTGTTTGCCCCTGGGCTCGAACATGATTGCATCTCATCTAACGTCTCCATGGCCTGCACAACCCTCTTACAGAGGCAACAGAAACTGGTAAAGCCCTGGGGACACCAGAGCTATAGGCATTTTGCTTTCTATGGGAGGAACATGGGACATCTGGTTTTCAAAGGAGACTTTCAGTCTGAGATAGGAGCCCCACCCTCCAAAGACTGATTTTTAATATCTTGGAGGGGACTTCTGAATTCAAACTGCAGCCAAAGACCTAAAGACCCAGAAGGACTGAGAGCTCCCTTCTCATGTCATGCGGGCCCTTAGCAGAACATGGCAAGGAAAAGCCAGTGCGATGTGGCATGAAACAGTGATGGGTGACCTCAGTGGGTTTGGAGCTTAGTGTTGGGGTCTCTGGCAGCTAGGATCTTCAAGACCCTCTTACAGGAATTTAGATTCTTAACTAAAGCTGTCCTTAGGCTGTTTCGGGGTGCTGAGGCACTTCTCAAAGCCATGCGCATGTCATGCTGAAAGGTCAACACCACAAATCTCAGACAAGGACACACACAGATCCTAGCAGGAGCTGGTGCTTCTCAACAGAACTCCACACAAAGGTGGAGCGAATCAAAGGGAAAAGGCAGGAGCAGACGGACACCGCACACAGTCTTCAAAAAGAAATTGCCAGAGGAAATCAAACACCATGTACTCCTAACACAAGGATGATAAGACCCGCAAAAAGCTGGAAGGAAACAAAGAAACCCCAATGGTGTCCTTTCGGTCCGTGTTTCAGGAGCTTCGGAAGTGTATGTCTACAAGGAAATGAGGGGAAGTCAGCCTTCAAGTTCCAAGCTGCCCAGGCCGTGGACCGTCGGAGAGATGGAGACACGCATCCTGGTCACCGCGACTTTGGATATTGCTTCTCGTTACCATCCTTGAAGGAAGCGCCCTGGGGTTGCCGAGGTGCTTGGAGGTGTGTGTTCCTGATGTAAGTCTCGGGCACTCCTCCGTGCCCTCCGCTTGGGCCCTTCTCTCTGCGTCCTCCACGATTGCCATTTCAAGATTTCACCTCTTCGCAGTCTTGGTCGGTGGAAAGTTCTACATCGGACAGTCCAACCTCCATGGCCATGATCAATGAGATGTCAGAGTCACTGCTGATAGCCGGCTCCTGCTCACCTGTGAGGAGAAAGCAACGTTCAGTGAACACTGAGCCATGCCTTTGACTTCTGGCATTTCAGTAACATTTCCTCTAAGACCATTTCTTTAAAAACTCTAATTAAAGCCTCATCTTTTTTTTTTTTTTAAAGATTGATTTTATTTATTTAAAAGGCAGAGTAAGAGTGGGGGGAGGGGAGAGAGAGAATATGGCCACAATGACTGGGGCTGGGCCAGGCTCGGCCAGGAGCCTGAACTCCATCCAGGTCTCTCACGTGGGTGGCAGGGACCCAAGCACTTGGGCTGTCATCTGCTGCTGTCACAGGTGCATTAGCAAAGAGATGGATTGCAAGTGGAGCAGCCAGGACTCAAACTAGTGCTCCCATGGGTAATAGCATCACAGGTGGCAGCTTAACCCACTGTGCCCCCAACAGCCATCCCTGAAGTCTGATCTTACACTGTAGCCCCAAATGAACTCTAAATGGATCAGAAAGTGAAGTGTAGGCAAAAGAAACTAAAAAAAGCTACAGGCAAACATATCATCTAAATAAGAAAATACATATTTAATATATCTAAGTGTGGCAAGAAATTTTATATGGAAAAACAATTGAGCATTTACAGAAGAAAAGATTAATAAATGTGCTTAAATTAATAAATTTAAGATGCTAAGATATGTAAAGTAAAATTAAAAGGCATATATAAAACTGAGGGCTTTATAAAAACTTCACAAAAGATTATATTCTTTTTTTAAGTTTTATTTATTTATTTAAAAGAGTTACACAGAGAGAGAGAGAAGGAGAGGCAGCGAGAGAGAGGTCTTCCATCTGCTGGATCACTCCCCAATTGGCCACAACAGCCAGAGCTGCACCGATCTGAAGCCAGGAGCCAGGAGCTTCTTCAGGGTCTCCCATGTGAGTGCAGGGGCCCAAGGACTTGGGCCATCTTCTACTGCTTTCCCAGGCCATAGCAGAGAGCTGGATCAGAAGTAGAGTAGCTGAGACGCAAACCGGTGCCCATATGGGATGCTGGCACTGCAGGTGGCGGCTTTACCCACTACGCAACAGTGCCGGCTCCAGGATTGTATCCTTAACCTATAGAAAGATTTTATTTATTTACTTTAAAGGAAGTTTATTCCTACAGCGACTCAGGTCTAATCTCAGCTTTTTTTTTATTTATTTGAAATTTAGAGTTAACAGACAGTGAGAAGGAGAGACAGAGAGAAAGGTCTTCTGTTCACTGGTTCACTCCCCAAATGGCTGCAACAGTCGGAGCTGCGCCGATCTGAAGCCAGGAGCCAGGAGCTTCTTCCTGGTCTCCACATGGGTTCAGGGGCCCAAGGACTTGGGCCATTTTCCACTGCTTTCCAAGGCCATAGCAGAGAGCTGGATTGGAAGAGGAGCAGCTGGGACTAGAACCAGCGCCCATGTGGGATGAGGATTAACCAACTGCATCACAGCGCTAGTCCCTCAGCTTTTTATCTTTTTTTTTTTTAAAGATTTATTTATTTATTTGAAAGATAAGCATTAGAGGAGGGGAGGGAGAGAATGAGAGAGAGGGTGGGGGAGATCTTCCATCCAATCACTGATTCACTTTCCAAATGGCCACAAGAGCTAGGGCTGGGCCAGGTTGAAACCAGGAACCTGGAACTTCATCCAGGTCTCCCACACTGGGGCAAAAGCCCAAGTACTTGGACCATCTCTTGCAGCCTTCTCTGGTGCATTAGCAGGGAGATATATTAGAAGTGGAGCAGCCAAGATCTGAACTGGCACTCCAAAATGGGATGATGATGTCATAAGCAGAGGCTTAACCCATTGTGCCGCTGTGCCACAGTGTTGCCACCTCTCCCCTCCCTCTGCCTCCATCCTGCCCCAGTGCCTATAACACTCAGGGCTTGGCCTGGAATTTGGGAGCCAGGAATACAATCCAGTCTCCCGTGTGGACGATGGGGCCCAGTCTGAGCGTTCATCTGCTGGCTCCTATGGTCTGCATTGGCAGGAAGCTGGAATTGGGAGCTGCAGCTGGAAATCAAACTCAGATGCTCTGATATGGAACAAGGGAATCTCAACTGGTGTCTCAACTGCTAGGCCAAACTACTGCTGAGACAGTTTTAAATAAATATTAAAAACAGTCCAATAGGAATTTAAATTGGTGATATTGTACAATTCACAGAGTAATATAAGTGGCCAATAAACGACCAATAAGTGAGATTTTCTTTTTCTGCTTATATGATCGTCAGTCTTTTACAAAGATATTACAATTAAGGGCTCACTGAGCTAGGTGTATTGCTAGATTACATGCAGAAGTGGAAAATTTTCACATTTCCAGAATGTATTGTTGAGAAACAATCAGTGAGGCATATTCAATAAAGCATTGTTTACAGTAGCAAAATATTGCAAGTACTTAAAGCCTAACAGTAGAGCATACTCAGAGTAAATCAACTTATTTTTAAAGGATAATATTCTGGTTATAGTCATAAAAATGAATTTTCCAAAGAATTTATAGTTACATGAGAAAATGCTTAACAGTACTTTCAATATAATGATCTTAAGTGGAAACAGAAGTAGTCAAAGCTTCACAGGCAATGGGGTTGATGGAGAAAGTTAGCTGGAAGCAACGAAACAAAAGATGCCAACAAGAGTAGTGTCCAGTTTTGGCATTTATATATTCATTTGATTTAAAAAAGAATTCACAGGGTAGGTGTTTGTCCAATAGCTAAGCCATGAGTTAGGATGCTCATATCCTACCAAATCAGCGTCCCTGGGGCCTGAGTCCTCGCTGTGCTGCTGGTGCCAGCTTTCTTCTGACGTGGAACTTGAGAGGCAGCAGGGACGGCTCCAGTGCTCGGGTCCCAGCCACCCCGTGGGAGACCTGGATAGAATTCCCGGCTCCTGGCTCCTGCCTGAGCCCACAGCAGATGAAGACTCTGGCTGTCTTCCTCTCAAACTTTTTAAAAAACTTTTATTTAATAAATATAAATTTACAAAGTACAGTTTTTGGATTATAGTGCCCCCCCCATAACTTCCCTCCCACCCGCAACCTTCCCATCTCCTGCTCCCTCTCCCATTCCATTCACATCAAGATTCATTTTCAATTCTCTTTATATACAGAAGATCAGTTTAGTATATACTAAGTAAAGATTTCAACAGTTTGCACCCACACAACAACACTAAGTGTAAAGTACTGTTTGAGTACTAGTTATAGCATTAATTCACAATGTACAACACATTAAGGACAGAGATCCTACCTGGGGAGTAAGTGCACAGTGACTCCTGTTGTTGACTTAACAATTGACACTCTTGTTTATGGCATCAGTAATCACCCTAGGCTCTTGTCATGAGCTGCCAAGGCTATGGAAGCCAAGTTCGCCAACTTTGATCTTATTTAGACAAGGTCAAGCCAAAGTGGAAGTTCTCTCCTCCCTTCAGAGAAAGGTATCTCCTTTGATGACCCATTCTTTCTACTGGGATCTCACTCGCGGAGATCTTTCATTTAGTGTTTTTTTTTTTTTTTTTTTTTTTTTTTTTTTTTTTTTTTTTTTTTTTTTTTGCCAGAGTGTCTTGGCTTTCCATGCCTGAAATACTCTCATGGGCTTTTCAGCCAGATCCAAATGCCTTAAGGGCTGATTCTGAGGCCAGAGTGCTATTTAGGATATCTGCCATTCTATGAGTCTGCTGTGTATCCCACTTCCCATGTTGGATTGTTCTCTCCTTTTTAATTCTATCAGTTAGTATTAGCAGACACTAGTCTTGTTTATGTGATCCCTTTTACTCTTAATCCTATCATTATGATCAATTGTGAACTGAAACTGATCACTTTGACTAGTGAGATGGCATTGGTACATGCCACCTCTCAAATAAACTTTTAAAAATTCAGTTTTACTCTCAAATATTTGGCAATGAAAATATGAGGGTGCTTCAAAAATTCATGGAAAAGTGGTGCAATTTTTTTCCAACACATAGTTTTTTCAGAATATGTATTTTTCATGAATGTTTTGAACATCTCTTGTATGTACAGATTTCAATATTTTTTGTCCTAAAATAAACTGATCTTTTAGTTTCAGCTTCCATAAGCTTTCTGAAGTACTTGTATATCATTCAGTCATTACAGATGTAGTCATTGAGTTCCCGTTGTGAGTCTATGCTAAGGATTGTGCTAGATGTCAGGCACCTTAGGTGAGTGTGATACATTTCCTGTCTTCAAAGTTCTAGCTGTCTTGCAGACAGGCAGACGACTAACCAGGCAGTTTCAACACAATGGCACAAGCACTCTGATGGAGGAAGCACCAAGCATTGTAGAAGCAGGTGAGAGGGTTTTGTGACCATATGCTGGGTCAAAGGCAGCTTCCCATGGGGTGCAATGTCTAAGCTAAGTGCTAAAGGATCATTTATATTTTAGCTGCATGAATAAGGAGTAATATTTTAGGCACTGGTAATAGCAAGTACAGATGGCTGGAGGACATCAGAGGGTATTTAGCTATTCTGGAATGTACAGTCAAGCGAGGGCCTCAGGACAGGTGAGGCCGGCTCACTGCACTGCTCAACGACTGTCTTAAACCCCAAAGGTCTTGTATGTTCTAGCACTCTGCAGAAGAAGCATGCAATTAAGAGACCCACAAAAATGTCTAAGTACTAAAGAATGATGGTCGTTGTAATACTTTTGCTCTGATAAGTGCAGATACACTTTTTTCATGTTAAAACAGAAGAATCACTATATTCCTAGAGATGTATTCCTTAAATAAAACATTTCTTTTGGGGGAAAAAGAATTAAAAACACAGTTAAGGAAAATACATGCATTTTATAAAGGACAGTTGATTCATAAGATATTTTAAAGGGGGGCCAGGGCTGTGGTATAGTAGGTTAAACATCTTTCTGGGTGCCAGCATCCCATATGGGCACTGGTTCGAGTCCCTTCATCCAATGATTCACTCCCCAAACAGCCGCAATGATGTGGGCTGGGACAGACCAAAGTCAGGAGCCTAGAACTCCATCTGGGTCTCCCATGTGGGTGGAAGGGGCCCATGTACGAGGGCCATCTCCTGCTGCCTTTCCAGGTGCATTAGCAGGGAGCTGGATGGACTCAAGTTGACCCTCAAGTTAGGGATGCTGGCACTGCAAGCAGTGGCTTAGCCAACTGTGCCACAAGGCCAGACCCCTCTCTATTAAAAAACTGTTGATTTATTTTTATCAACTTGAAAGGAAAAGTGACAGTGAAGGAAATCTTTCATCTGTTGGTTCACTCCCTAAATCCCCACAACAACCAGGGATGGGCCAAGCTGAAGCCAGGTGGCATGAGCTCCATTGCAGTCTTCCACATTAGTGGCAAGTGCCAAGCACTTGAGCCATCATCTGCTGCCTCCCCGGATGCATTGGAAGCAGAGGTGCTGGGACTTGAACTGGCACTCCCATTTGGGATACGGGTGACCCAAGTGGGCATCCTAACCAGCTGTGTCACAATGCTTGCTCCTATAATCTCCTATCTTTATTTTTTGTGTGTACACAGCCTTTCAATTAATCCTCTTCTCTAGAGCAAATGTGGCCTTGAAGCTCTGAACTTGGGGGAAGTTTCTCAATGCAAGTGGGGCATGGCTTTCAATTGGGGCGTGGCTGTTCTGCATTTGTTTTCTCAGGAGGTTGTGGCTTCCTGCTGTGCACGCCTCCACTCTGGGGTCCAAGAACAGCAGGCTGTGGACCTGGCAGGAAGCAGGAAGCAGCTGGCATGGCCACATGCAGGTGCTTGCTTGCTTCTCAGCTCTGCTGAGGTACCCCTCTGCCCTCTGCCACACACACACAGTTTCTCAGCTGCCTCATTTTGTCATTGTTTCTTTCATTCCCCTGTCCTTGCTGATCAAGTCTTAAGCACCCCACTACTGCGGGTTTTGTGAGATTTCAGGAAGGACAGGGAGTCATGTGTCATGCGTAATGTGTGTTTGATCTACTCTTTTCACTCAGTGTTCTCTGTAAGTACCACATTTCTTTTTAAGAGAGAGAGGGAAAGATTTGTTTCTTTGAAAGGCAGAGTTAGAGACAAGAAAAGGAGTGTAAGCATCACTTTTTTTTTTAAAGCATCACTTTTATAAGAACAAAATATATGAATATCCATGGGTTAAGCATCCCAACATCTACGCAAATATTCCCAAATACCAAAAATCTCCGAACTCCAACATCGGGGGCAGGCATCTGGCACAGTGATTGAGATGCTGCTTGGGGCGCTCACATCCCACACTGGAGTGCTGGGGTTCAAGTGCCCTCTCTGCCTGTGTTTCCAGTTCCTGTTGATGCATACCTTGGGAGGCAGTGGCGATGGCTGAAGTCCTGTGGTCCCTGGCATCCACATGCATTCAGTTCTAAGCTCCTGGCTTCTGCCTGCCCGAACCCTGGGTTTTGAGGGCAATGGAGGAGTGCACCAGTAGATGGGGAAATCTCTCTTTGTCTCCTTGTTTTTCAAATGAATACCTAAATAAACATTACAAAAGCAAACCCCTCCAAAATCTCAAGCATTTCTAGTTGTTATCATTTTGGGTATTACACGTTACTTTGTATAAGTCACTTTTCTCCTTTATGGCTAACATGTGTCAATCAAACAAGAATTTGGACTGGAAGTAAGTGAGCCCTTTCTGGGTGCTGCTTATATAGCTATGTGCTGATGCCCACCCAGCACCATGCCTCACCCATGCCGAGTGCTCAGTAAATAACTACGTAATCTAACATCACCACTGAGAAGGAAAGTTTTCCCTGCTATAATCCTTGACATTATTTTTATTTAAAAAAATTTTTTTTTTTAATTAACACAAGACCTGCTTGTTCTGTTTAATTCAAGTATGCACTAGTGGGAGAATTCACTACTTAGAGGTAAAACGGAAGTTGAGATTTTACTCCTGGAGATGAAAAACAAGAGTTTAATTTCCATTTCTTTTCCTTCCCTTTTTTTTTTCTCCTTGTGGGGGGCTTACACCTCTATTTTTTTTCCATGTGTTTTTTTTTAATTTCATTTAAGTTACACAAGTTTCATATATTTCATATATACAGATTCAGGAACATATTAATTTCTTTTCTTTTTCTTCTCCTTCTTCCTTTCCCACCAACTCTCATCTCTGTCTTTCTCTCTCACAAAAGCCTATTAACTGGGCTCACAGGAAGTCACACGTTTTGGTTCACAATTCAACTGGAAGTCATTCAAGAGCCCATCCCAGAGTGGTTCTGTGACTTTCCTAGGGAAGCAGTAAAAGAAGGAAGTGCAGGAGCTGAATCAGTTGCAGCCGCACAGAGACAGAGCTCAGGGCTACCTCCTGGGCCCCAGCTGACCTCACTCCTGGCTTTGCAGCCGCTGACCTCAGCAGATTTCAAGGATTCCTTCTCATCTTGGTGCTTTCTAAATGGTAATGTATGAACTGGAGGAAAAAGGGGCCGGGGGACTATGTAACTATGAGTTGCTGAATTCATGGTGCTATTTTGGAAATTAAGGCTGTCCAGCATGGCTCATGGGAGAGGTGAATTTAAATCAATACAAAAAGAGGTTTGTAAAAATAGTTCAATTTTTATGATGTAACATTGCACCAACCTCCTCATCTAATCATTTTCCACTGAAAAACTTCTTTTAGAAATTATTTAAAGAGGTTTCAAATTATTCTTTAGGATGTTCTACTTTGTTAATTGAACTTTAAATTTCTGTATTCTTTATTTTGAAAGACAGCGCGAGAAAGAGAGAGAGTGTGTGTGTGTGTGAGAGAGAGGCAGAGACAGAGCTCTTCCATTCAGTGATTGACTCCTCAAATGACAGCAATAGCTGAAGCTGGGACCATCTGAAGCCCAGAACCCAGAACTCCATTCAGATCTCCTATATTGGTGGACTGGTGACAGGGATCCAGGGACCCAAGTCCTAGGGTGGCCACCTGTTGCCTTCCAGGATGTGTGACAGCAGGAAGCTGTCATCAGAAGCTGAGCTGGACTCTGGCCTCAGAATCAGCCCTTAAGGCATTTGGATCTGGCTAAAAAGCCCATGAGAGTATTTCAGGCATGGAAAGCCAAGACACTGTGGCAAAACAAACAAACAAACTAAAAAACCTAAATGAAAGATCTCTGTGAGTGAGATCCCAGTGAAAAGAAAGGGCCATCAAAGAAGGAGGTACCTTTCTCTGAAAGGAGGAGAGAACTTCCACTTTGACTATGACTTTGTCTAAATAAGATCAAAGTTGGCGAACTCAAGAGGCTTCCATAGCCTAGGCAACTCATGACAAGAGCCTAGGGTGATTACTGATGCCATAAACAAGAGTGTCAATTTGTTAAGTCAACAATAGGAGTCACTGTGCATTTACTCCCCATGTAGGATCTCTGTCCTTAATGTGTTGTACTATGTGAATTAATGCTATAATTAGTACTCAAACAGTACTTTACACTTTGTGTTTTTGTGTGGGTGCAAACTGTTGAAATCTTTATTTAAGATGTACTAATTTGATCTTCTGTATATAAAGAGAATTGAAAATGAATTTTGATGTGAGTGGAATGGGAGAGGGAGCGGGAGATGGGAGGGTTGCAGGTGGGAGGGAAGTTATTGGGGGCGGAGCCACTGTAATCCAAAAGCTGTACTTTGGAAATTTATATTTATTAAATGAAAGTTAAAAAAAAAAAAAAAGCTGAGCTGGGACTAGAACCCAGACACTTTGATATGGGGTTTTAAAAAAACAGGGTTTTATCTTTTTTTTTTTTTTTTCAGGATTGTATCTTTTAATCAAAGTCAGTATTTTACTTTGAGGCCACAATTATATGAGTACAACCTTGTCACTAAAACATTTAGAAGGTTCTTCGCACTAACTGAGGAGTGTAAATAGCTATTAACGGCCGGCGCCGCGGCTCACTAGGCTAATCCTCCGCCTAGCGGCGCCGGCACACCGGGTTCTAGTCCCGGTCGGGGCGCCGGATTCTGTCCTGGTTGCCCCTCTTCCAGGCCAGCTCTCTGCTGTGGCCAGGGAGTGCAGTGGAGGATGGCCCAGGTGCTTGGGCCCTGCACCCCATGGGAGACCAGGAAAAGCACCTGGCTCCTGGCTCCTGCCATCGGATCAGCGCGGTGCGCCGGCCGCAGCGCGCCGGCCGCGGCGGCCATTGGAGGGTGAACCAACGGCAAAAGGAAGACCTTTCTCTCTGTCTCTCTCTCTCACTGTCCACTCTGCCTGTCAAAAAAAAAAAAAAAAAAAGCTATTAACAACATAAATGTTTACTGAATTTTGCTTCCTTGTCTGCAAAAACTAATGTAAAACTAATGCAAAAATAATATTGGCTTTTCTTTAATACTCATAAGAAAGTTTTGATGCAGGCAAATTTTGTTCAACAGATAAAAATACATTATGCAATTGACACACTAGTGTAATACCTGCTTGATATTCCTCTCTTGGTTGTTATGCATTATAAAAGTGTTGAAAGACTGTAAGTAGGGTGTGATCTGAGCCACTCATTATTAAAAAAATAACATTCTTGCTGCTAAGTGAAGAACAGATTGGCAGGACAATTGGTGGAAGGAATCCATGCTTTAGATAAAGGATCTATGAGAAAGAGATGAACTGAACAAGGGGAGCAAGAGACAACAACGAGTGACTCCCCAGCACTCGAGCAATATAGCTGCCATGTACCAAGCCAGAGAAAGTGAAGAGCAGCAGGTGTAGGAGACGGGCCCAGAGTTCACCTGTGCATATGAAATGTCGTGGATACTCGTAGGGTATCCCAGGGAGCCATGGAGGTGGCAGCCAGATACATGTGTCTGGAGTATGTGGGAGATGCCATGACTACCTAAATTTGGGAGGTTCCCCACACCGAAGGTATTTAAACCACGTGACTAAGTGAAATTCTCTAAGAAGAGACAGTAGAGCAAGAAGATAAGGTGGGAGCTCCTAGGAACCCTAACACAGAGTCAAGGACTCAAACTGATACCCCCCTCCCATTATGTTTTGTTTGGCCTGCACAGTATATATTTTTAAAACTGAATTAGCTGTCAATGTTTAGAAGTCAGGATACTTTACATACAAATGTATATTTGAAATTTCTCCTGGGACAGGGTGTGGCACTCTATCTGTGATTCTCAGATGGAAATCCTTGGTGGGTGTGGAGTAGCTGCTGACCCATTCAGTCTAAGGTGTCCTGGCTCCAGGTGACCGGAGCTACCAGATAATCTGCTTTGTTGATTCACATTTCTTGCCCAATCTGTGTAGACATTTGACTTGAAGTCTTGTAGGAGGAGGGCAGAAGAATGGCAGAGGAGGTTAATTATCAAAAGAAAAGGCTGGAGTGGTGAGTGGAAAACTTGGAAACGTGGCATTGATTAGTTTCCTTCTTAGCTTTAAAAATATACTCATTTTATTTCCTTTAGAGGTGAGATCCATCCTCAAGGAAATGAGATGCAGAGAGCATTACAGAGCTAACTTGGGTGGATCCCAAGACTGACCCAAGTCATCTCACGGCCAGTCTTGAAACTCTGTGTTACAGTGTTACAGAGAAAATGAGCAAATAAATAAAAAATATCTACTTCACATGGAGCTTTGAGATCTACTTTGTGGACACACAACTACCACTTTAGTACATCTCCACATTTAATTCTGAGTAAAATCCATCAGCAGACTAGCTGTGGTTAACCAGAAATTCTCAGTGATGAGGTTTATTAATTCCATTTAGTCTGTAAATTATTAATATCTTCGGCTTATCTCACTCCTGTAATACACAGAATGTCATCTAAAGATTCAGAGGCTCCCCTTTGCGAACCAGACATTGCAGCTCTAGTTCTGCTGTGAGTCTGAAAGAATTGTCTATTGACAGTGGGCTGCATGGTCATTCAAGCTCCTTCCAACCCTGAGAAGGGAAGACCTTGAGATCTGCTCTGTGCAGTGTTGGTGCCATGGTTTGAGTGTCCCCTCCAAAACTCATGTGGGAATTTAATTGCCATTTTAAATACAGAGAGGTGAAACTGTTAAGTGATTGGGTGGGTTAGTGGTGTTACTGTGGGGTTGGGTAGGTTCCTATGGCTGGGCTCTTGGTGAGGATGAGTGTGGCTTGATTTTCTGTCTTACACGTGCTCCTTTTCCCTCCCTCCATGGCATGATGCAGCAAGAAGGCCTTACCAGATGCACCTCCCTGATTCCGCATTTCCCAGACTGCAGAACTGTGAGCCAAAGTGACTGCTTTTCTTTATTACCAAGTCTGTGATCCTGTGTAAGTATCTGAAAACAGACCAAGACAGTTGGGCATGCCTGGTTTGTCTCCATCAATTCTGCGGCTCAGGCTTTCTCCATTGTCAATGGTCCTATCTCATTTAAATATTTGTGGAATTAACCAGAATTGAAGTTGTTTTCTGGCCAGATGGAGTGTAAGTTTTGTATTGTAATAGCTGATAACATTAGTGCTTATTGAACACGTAGGACATCCAGGATGTATGCTAAGTGCTTTATATAGAATCTCTAACTTAATATTATTTTTTAAAAGATTTATTTATTTTGAAAGTCTTGAAAGTCAGAGTTACACAGAGAGAGGCAGAGAGAGAGAGAGAGAGAGAGAGAGAGAGAGAGAGAGACAGGTCTTCCATCTGCTGGTTCACTCCCCAATTGGCTGCAATGGCTGGAGCTGGGCCTATCCAAAGCCAGGAGTCAGGAGCTTCTTCTGGATCTCCCACGTGGGTGTAGGGGCCCAAGGACTTGGGCCATCTTCTACTACTTTCCCAGGCAATAGTAGAGAGCTGGATTGGAAGAGGAGCAGCCAGGACTTGAACAGGCGCACATATGTGATGCCAGCACTGCAGGTGGTAGCTTAACCCACTATGCCACAGCGCCAGCCCTGAACTTAATATTCTTAATTAAACTAATACATGGAAAGTTTTATTCTGTTTTTAGGTGATAGAATCAAAATTCAGAAAGTTAAAAATTCCCCAGGTTACTTTGACAGGAGAAGCTGAAACTAGAATTCAAATTTACCTTTGTCTGAGTCCAGAGTCTATGAATTTGACCATAATCTATACTATACTTGAGATTTTTAATTTAAGGATTAGTAGATTTTCAGGGGGTAGGGGTGGTTTTCAGGGGGGTTTATGCTCTTAAACTTACATAGATACCTTTATGTCTATATTCATGCAGGCATTTTCCTGGTAGCTTTCACTGGATTCTCAGGAAGTCAGAAAAGATTAAGAACCTTTCACTTAAGAGATTTTTGCATCCTTAATGAGTCAGGTAAAGCAACAGGGTGGATTTTATTTATTTTTTAAATATTTACTTTATTATTTAGAAAGTCAGAGTTACAGAGAGAGACAGAGGGAGACAGAGAGAGAGAGAGACAAAGAGAGAGAGAGAATTTCATCTTCCGGTTCACTCCCCAGATGGCTGCAATGACCAGTACTGGGTTAGGCTGAAGCCAGGAGTCAGGAGCTTCATCTGGGTCTCCTACATGGGTGGGTGGCAGGGACCCATACAACTTGGGCCCTCTTCTGCTGCTTTTCCCAGGCCATTAGTAGGGCGATGGATTGGAAGTGAAGTAGCCAGGACTTGAACTGGCACCTAATGGGATGCTGGCATTGCAGGCAGCAACTTTACCTGGTACACCCCATCGCTGGCCACTAGATTTTATTTTTAAACGTATATGTGGTTTACATTTCACTTTGTACATGCTCTATTAATATAACATGACATTCATACCAATCATTACATTTCCACCTAAGTGTTTCTTTACAGCATTTATTCAAAGCCAAACAGAAAATTATTCTCCTGTGTCGCTCCCCCTCTTCGTGGAGGAACGACACAGGACCCTGCGCTGTTCTTTCGTCTGCTCGGCCCTCCCCGGGTTTGCTGCTGGCTCTTCCCGGGTTGGCTACCGTCCCTTCCACCTCCGTGGAAGGGCGGTTCCCCCTGCCACATTCCCCACTTCCGCGGGGGAGCGGCACACCGCCGGCCAGCTCTCTCGGGGGCTGCACAGGTGTTCCTCTTAGATGTTCCCCTTAGATGTTCCTGGTGCATGTTGTCTCTCTCCTCCTTTATAGTCCTCCTCCGCCAATCCTAACTCGGCTGCCCACACGCCGAGTACGCTGCTCTCCTCCAATCAGGAGCAGGTCCTGCTGTTTATTGGTTGAACTGGAGGCAGCTGTGTAGAAGCTGTTTTCTCCTCTCCCAGCGCCATATTGTGGGAGAGCAGATGCATAGAATAAGTCTTAATTCCAGTAACTCAGTCCAGTCCGGGTTGCTCCCCACACTCCTGGTCTGAGGTTGGACATTTACCACACTGTCTTATATAAGAAGCACAAAGCAGCAGCAGGCTGGCATAGTCCTCCTGTTAGGGATTCACAAACACAGCCTCAGAACAGGAGCTCTGTGTTTGCAGAGAAAATGACGTGGTGGTGAGCAAGACCCTGCAGGTGCACTGACTCTCCAGCAGGTGAGTGGTCACATACTGGCAGCAGCCCTGCATCACACAAACGCTCATTTTCCTCCTGTACTTGAAAAGTCAGGTTTCAAAGAAAAATAGCACCTCTCTGTCCACTGCTGTTGATGCTTATCTTGAAATAGGACATCATTTCCAGCCAAGCCTGCACTGGAGCAAAGCACCACCAGGCAGGCACTTTCTACCACATGGGCTGAATTACAGGGTTGCTGTCTCTTCATTGGCCCTCAGAATGGCGAGGCCCTTGAGGCTGGAACAGGGTATGGTGATCCCATGTCATCATCGCATGGGAAGGGGTCAGCAGGCTTTAGATGCAGGGTGTTTTCAATAAGGACATTTATGCATTGTTTTATGCTTAATGTGAATTTCTGAGCTGAGCTATTTTTGATTGAAATTTTCCTATTTATGAGCAGCCTCTGCTCCAAGAATGGTGGCCTGAGGATGCGTGGTAAGATGAGTAATAAAAGCCAGAATGTACTGGCTCCTTCCTAGGAGGCAGGCCCTGAGCTAAGCAATAACATATGTCATGTATGTGGTCCTTGTATGTGTCATGTATGTGGACACTGTGGGGGCAGGTGTATGATTCCATGGGTTCATATTTTTATAATTATTATTTATTTATTTGAAACACAGAGAGACAGATATATTCTACCAGCTGATTCACTCCCCCAAATGCCTTTGACATCTAGGGCTGGGACAGGCCAAAGCCAGGAGCTGGGAACTCATTCCAGGTCTCTTATGTGGGTGACAGGGACCGAAGTACTTGAGCCATCACTTCCCACATTCTGCTTGCCAGAGTAGATATTATCAGCAAGCTGGATTTGGGAGTATAGCCTGAGCTTGAACCCAGGTACTCTGGTATGGGATGTGGGTGTCTTAACCCTCTGTACCAAACGCCTGCCCCTAGTTCTCATTTATAAGTGAAGTTGAGCACATAGAAAGCAGCAGACGTGGACTCTCAATCCAGGTTGGTGCTGTTGACAACCACACTACTCTGGAAAGGGTAGAGCTATTAGATTTCTATTTGGCTGCTAAGCTGTCCTCTCAGACAACACTGTGCCACCTTTAGGAACCAAGCATTCCAGGCTTATGATACAAATTCATCCACCTGGCCAAGTCACTCCCAGAACTGTTCAGATACAACTGGCATGTTTGCCTTTTGAATTCCTGCTCCATAATTATAAATATACACATGATAAGTTCAGACCAGGAAAATGCTTTCTCACATTAAGCATTGTTGGTTTGGACTTGATGAAGGAGAATTCACTGAACACTCTCATATTAACATGGATCACACAGTTGGGATTTTACTTTGGTTTTCTCTCTTCACTATTTTTCTTTCCCTGGGACACTTCACCTAGCAAAGAAAGGCTTTTTCCAACTGCTCAGACTACGTACTGATTTTCCTGGCAGCTCATTCATTGAGTCATTTCTTAGTAAGTGCCAAAAGAAAGGGCAAGGTGATTTTTGCATTAGGTTTACATTAGATTTTACAGGGAAGGAGGAAAAATCCCAGTGAACTAATCTCCAATTATGCCACCTATAGAGAACTTTAAGCAGTAAGCATATTGTCAGGTAAGTGGAAAGCTCTTGATGACCATGAATGTGAGTATAGTGAAAAAGGCAAAGTCTCCAGATGGATTTAGACATTTATGCAGGCATCATGCAGATTTATCCATTTTTGCAATGATACAAAGTTATTCCATAAACCTCATTGATGGGGATGGCATTGTGGCATAATGGGTAAAGCTGACACCTAAGATACTGGCATCCCCCATGAGTGTTGGTTCAAGTCTTGACTGCTCCATTTCCAATACAGCTCCCTACTAGTTGCCTGGGAAAGCAGTGCAAGATGGAAGTGTACTTGGGCCCCTGCCACCCATGTGGGAGACCTGGGTGAAGCTCCTGGCTCCTGGTTTCGAGCTGTGCAAGATCTCTATTTTTCTCTGTCTCTCCCTCTCTCTCTGTAAACCTTTCAGATAGATAACTCTTTAAAAAAACTCACTCATTCATTCATCTATGGATTTATTTATTTATTTATTTGAGAGCTAGAGTTACACACAGAGAGAAGGAGAGACAGAGACAGGTTTTCCATCTGCTGGTTCACTCCCTAAATGGCCACGACTGCCAGAACTGTGCCTATCTGAAGCCAGGAGCCAAGAGCTTCTTTGGGGTTTCCCACGCAGGTGCAGGTACCCAAGCATTTGGGCCATCTTCTACTGGTTTCCCAGACCATAAGCACAGAGCTTGATTGGAAGAGGAGCAGCTGGGACACAAACAGGTGCCCATATGGGATGCCAGCACCGCAGGCTGAGGTGTAGCCCACTATGCCACAGCTCTGGCTCCTATTTTTAAAGATTTATTTCATTTATTTGAAAGGCAGAGTTGGATAGTGTGATTTGGCTGTAGCTTTGTGTAGAACTACACTGCAGATTGAAGAATGCTAAGCTATGCACTAGATGAAGCTGTAGGACTCTGAGCCCTTCCTGAATTACAGAGCTCTCCCTCTGTTTCACAGAGGTGTAGAAGGCTTGGAACTTCCTTTTCCAGACTCCCTTGCCAGCTGGCTTTCCTATGGGTTCTGTCAAGGAGACCAGAAGGCAGGAGGAATGGTATAGCTGTGATACTAGGAGTCTCCAAAGGTTTATGGAAAATATGTGTTATGAAAAACTATGCATGCATTTCATTTCTTTGCACCAAAATAAATCCATCTTTTAATTCTATTTTCCATGAACTTTTATTTTTTTAAAGATTTATTTATTTTATTTGAAAGTCAGAGTTACAGAGAGAGCT